CCCTCCAAAAGGATCCAGGAATCCCTGGAAATAGGCTGATTCAAAGGCTGGAGTAGGAAATGTACAAAAAGAGCCTAGAATATTATTTTATGTCAGAAAGGAAGGATGCTATGAAGACCATTTATTAGGGTTGTGTGAGAAGACACAGGCACAGGCTTTCATTGCCCAAAGATGAAACACCAAGCATCAGAAATAATAACTACAAACTACAATAGAATGAAACACTTCAAATATGTGTGTGTGTGTTTAAAGAACAAGCATTGGTAATGCTTTTCAAAACGAAACCACACCAAAACACTCCTTTCATTGGTCACCTCTGGAGGATGATATGGGATGAATTCATTATTCTAATAACTGGTAAATAAAGAGGAAGAATTTATCCTACCTGTCATGTATAAACTGTTGCCAGTGTAACTAAATGGCTGATGAAAGGAGATTTTGATTTATAAAAGATTTCCAACTAATATATGCAGAAGGAATACTATAATTAGAATGTCACCCTTTTTCAGCCACTAATGAAATAATGGATCTGGGTGGTGCTCATCAGCGGCTGCTAAAATTGCTAGGTGAAAGGGAACTTTATAATAATCAGATTGAACCCACTGATCAGTCTTAACATCACTAAGAAGAAAGACAACCAGATAAACTTTGCCTGATGTTGTGCTACAGAAAGAAACCAACAGCACTGTTTATGAACCTAGGTATAATCAGAGCTCTGGGTACCTAGTCAGGTATCATCAAGCGTTCCTGATTAAATGAAATGCGGCAAATAGAGGAACATGTGAAATGACCCATAGAGATACAGTGAAATAGACTGTGAGAATTTTGTGGGACAAGTGACCAGGATCTTCAACCATCAATCAATCAATCAATCAATCAATGGAAAGTTGGGGCAGAAGGTAGGGGAATTCTATAGATTAAGAGACCCTAGGAGACATTACTAAATGTGATCTATGAATATTTTCTGGATTAAACTTTCAAAAATCACTTGAAAACACTTGGGAACTTTTGACACTGAATGGTATTTGATGTTAAGGAGTTATTAGTTTTTTGATAGTGCTACAACAAAACCATAAGTTTGTGGTTCTCTTACCCTTTGAGTCTAAGTCAGAGGCCACCTAACTCTGTAAAAGACCACATAGTAAATATTTTAGGCTTTGCAGGTGGCCCCTGTTGCAACTTTAAGGTAGTCTCTTCTATAACTATTCAACTCAGCCCATGCATTGTGAAAGCAGTCATAGACAATATGGAAACTAATGAGCCAGACACGGTGCCGTGCACCTGTAGTCCCAGCAGCTTGGGAGGCTGAGGCAAGAGAATCGCTTGATCCCGGAAGGCAGAGGTTGCAGTGAGCTGAGATCCTGCCATTGCACTCCAGCCTGGGCAACAAGAGTGAGACTCCATTTCAAAAAAGAGAAAAAGAAAAAAGGGAACTAATAAACTAATGAGCATGGTTTTATGCTAGTAAAACTCTGTTTCCAGTAACGAGTGACAAGCTATCATTTGTTGACCTCTGGTCTAATTCATTGCGCTTGGGGTAAAGCCTAGGAATCTGTAGTTTTAACAAGCATGCCAGGTACTTATGATCAGGCAGAGGGCATTGGGAGGTGATTTTAGTTATTTCTTCCATTTTCACATGGGAAAACAAGCTGGAGTAGGAGAAAGGACTTGCTCAGGATCCACAGCTAGAAGGTAGCAGACTGTGTTTATAGGGGAAAATCCTGGCTGCCATGTCCCTTCTCTGCCACATTCGTCCCACAGGAAGACGCTAAGGAGAAACAGGGAGAGAAGCTGGGAAGAGAACAGGGGGAGCGAGAAGAAAACACTTGGGAACTTTTTCTGCACATTGTACCTCTAACTCAGCAGTCTTCTTTAGGATGAGGCAGAGGCAAAGGGAGGAAGAAAGACCCTGAACACGTGCCGAAAGCCCAACAGATAAAAAGAGGATGTTCTGGAGCATAATGTCAACTTCCTTACCAGGCCTAAAATCCAGAGTTGCTAGACTTTGAAAATAAAAATACAGGACACCTTGTTAAATTTGAATTTCAGACAAAAAACAAACAACCCATATTTTTAGCACAAGTGTGTTCCATGCACTATCTAGGACATAATTATAATTTTTTTTTAATGTTGTTTAGCTGAAAGTCAAATTTAACTGGGTATCCTGTATTTAATCTGGCAACCCTGCTAAAGTGTGAAGCAAATTAGTAAAAGCATTTAACAAAATATTGGTGGGCAAGGGGTCAAGGGCACCCCCTGCTGAGGGACTATGACAATCACCAGGAAGCTGCTTACAGGAAAGGTTCAGAGGTCACAGAGACTGAACTCTGACCTGCCAGATTTTGGAATAGGCACTTGACCCTCTCCTCTAAGTCTTGGTTTGTAGCTGACCTTGGCATGGATATCCTAAAGCCTGAGTTGATCACGTATCTCTGTTCTCTCTACGCAAGATCTGGATTCATTCAAAACCCATCTGGTCTCTGGGTATGAAATGAATTTTATGGAGATAGTGACATTCTCATTTTGCTCCTGCTTGATCCTCAATATACCAGGAGTGATCATTTTTCCTGGGAAACAGTCTTAATAATGCAAACAGGATTCCATTCTTTAATTAATGCTCATTCCCATGAGCACTTTCAGCCTCCCAGAGTTTTCAAACTCCCATCCTCTTTGTGAGTGTGCATGTGAGAGGGCAAGGAAAGGCAATGATTGATGGAAGGTATCTGCCAAGATAGGCATGGGCTCTTTCCTCGTGCAATCCAAAGATCTGTTTCCCTCCAATTACTTACTATTTTTATTTCTAGAGTCATTCCTTGGAATATTTCCTGTGCCTCATTACTTACATCTCCTTTTTCAAGGTTCAGCCTTGAAATCCTTAAGTATCTCATTGAGAGTTTGGATGAGTAAATATTTCTTATGCGGTGCTTGGGCAAGGTACCTTACCTTCATCTGTGCTTGGGGATGATAGAGGCTTCTATCACGCAGGAATGGAGAGAGCTTAAATGAGGGTTGTGTGTAACAACAGTGGCCAGCACTCATTATTAATTAACTAGCGCATTTTTATTGTTAGTATTACTGTCTCTGACTAGTTTATGTCTGGCTAGGTTTTATCATGGGACATATTTGTCAATAATTTTTTTTTACCAGGGAAGGCTTTGGCCACTACCTTTCCCAGACAGGTTATCTTCAAAGAATATCAGTCACCATGGAGGAAAATCAGCATGGGTTTTTATGGAAAATAAGTACATTTGAGGAAATTAGGTTTGTTATGCTGCATGCAAAGACACACACAGTGAATAGTTACTGTACTTTGTGTATATACTTTTACACTGAACAATGCTCAGTGGGTTTTTACATACATAATCTCATTTTAGGCAGGCTGTAGCTTCACTCTTATTTTGAAGAGAAGAAAACTGAAGGGCACAGGGGTTAAGTGCTTGTCAAAAGTGACATGAGAACCCAGGGCTTCTGACTTCCAATGTCATGTTCCTCTTTGTTGCATCACAGGCTTCTGGAAATATTTTATTAATAGTCCACTCCTGGAAGAATACAGTATAAACTTGACCACAGCGGTAGTGCCGCTTGGTGAGAATTTTAAAGATTCTTCTCAAGGGAGTCTCTGTGACCAATTAATATCCTTCTGATACTCTTTTACTCAAATACTTAGATGCATCACAGTTTACACCCAGCACACTTGAATTTCTGTCTATAAAAGTGGAGATTTCAATCTGGAATACCTCTTCTGGATTGTGTTAAAATTATGAGATGAGACATACACCAGTGTCAATTATGGACTCTACTATTGAAAATTTTTCATCAAGAGAAGTGTTTCTATATTCCTGACTTCTGTTTTTTTAATCAACAAACCAAGTGCAATAAACCAGTGTACAGTATTCTGTCACAAACATAATTTTTCTTTTAAAAATATTAATTTTTAATATATTAAAGAGAACTTAAATTAGGTCCACTGGTTTCCTTATATTCACACTTTTTTTTACAGTTTTAAATTTTCAAATGTGATACAGGATTATTGTAAAATTTCAAACAGCATAGATATGTATATATTAAAAAGTGGGATCTTTCTTTTTGATCATAACACACATGCTATAGAGGAAGTCACTTGTTTACTGGTTTTCTGGACATTTTTCTATGCATTTTCAAGTTACATGGTATTGCTATATATTTGCTTATGTATCCACATATACATTTTTACATGAATGAGAATACTAAAATATATTTTCCAATGCCTTGTGTTGTCACTTAATATATCCTAGACATATTTACGTATCAGTACACATAGCTCTACTATATTCTTTTTAACTGCTGTGTATAACTTTAATGATGAACAAATTTTTGCCTTTACAATGAATGAAATAAACACTTTCAACTAAATACTTTTGCTTACTTGATTGAATAGCTTTCTAAGACACCTAGAGGTGAAATTGCTGGGTTCAAAGACACTTGCACCTTTAGTGTCAACAAAGTCTACCAAGCTGTCCTCAGAAAAAGCAGAAACATTTCTCACCGCTGACATTTGAGAATAACTCTTTCCTCACCTCTCTCAAACACAAGATAGCGTTAATCTTTTTCCAAACTTTCCCAGTTGACATTCAGAAATGTATGTCTCTGTTGTTTTAACTGACCTCTTTTCATATGTTTGTGGCCACTTCTAGTCCTTTTGTGGATCATCTGTTGTTATCCTGTGTTCATTTTTCTGTTGGGTGGCTTTTCCTAACTAATTTGAAGGAGCACTTGGTATGGATTTTAATTCTTTGTCTGTTACATATATTGTGCCTTGTTGTCATTTGTCTTTTAGCTATGCTTATGTTGTCTTTTGCCATGCAAAAGCATTTAATTTTTGTAAGTTATAGCTCTAAATCTTATTCTTGACGGCTTCTTGAACATGTGTCTTATTTAGGGAGGTCTTCCTTTTCTGAGGTTATAGAGTACTTTTCTAAGTTTTCTTCTAATATTATTATTGTTTTGTTTTTTATGTTTAGCTCTTTAATCCATCTGGAAATGATTTTTGTATATGGTGTGAGGTAGGTATCTAAGTGTATTTTTTTAATGAATAGTTCATTGTCCCAACACTTTAATTACTAACCCATCATTTCATATATTAGATTCCAATATTTATACATGGGTCTGCCTCTAGACTCTCTGGTTTGTGCCATTAATAAATTTGTCTATCCTATGCCAAAACACAATGTGTTCATTACATAGTTTGATAAAATGTTTTGCTATCGGATAGTGACTCTCCCTTATTGTTCTATTTCAAGTATATCTTAGTTTTTATCAAATAATTACTACTTTAGGTGAATTTTGGATTCATCTTGTCAGTTTCTGTACACCATTTCATTTGAGTTTTCATATATATTGTGTTAAATTTTTGATTAATCTATGGGAGAAATGAAAAATGTATAACATTGCGTCTTCCTATCCAAGAAAATGACACAAATTTTTATTTATTCAGATCTTCTTTTATGTTTTTCAACACTTTTCTTTAAATAGAGTTGCTTTCTGCTAAAGTTTATGCCTAGGTGTTTTAAATACCTTTATTGCTATTGTCCAAACAATCTTATTTTCCATTGTATTTTGAAGTCATTGCCATTGGCATGTGAGAATCGTTTGATTTTTGCGTGTTTCTCTTATTTCTGAGTAGCTTGCTAAATCATATAATGGTCTAACTGCTTTTTATTTAATTTTCCTGAATAGTCAGGCAGTTTGACTTTTTAAAAAAATATTTCTACCACATTAAAAAAATTATTGCTTTATTGCCTTGGCTAGGACGTCTTGAAAAATGTCACATAAAATTTGTAATAGAAGATACCTTGTATTTTTTCTAATGTTTTGTCAGTAAATATGATATTTAGTATATTTAATAAAGGAAGTTACCTTCTATAAATTAGACTTTTAATCAGAAAAAGATGTTGGAAATTTTTGGTATTTTTAAAAGGGTGGCTTCTCTTCTTTTACCTTTTAATTTAGTAAATTTAGCAATAGGTTTCCTAAGGTTGAGACATTCTTGCATGTCTGGTATAAACCTTATTGAGCTATAATATGGAATTCTTGTAATATGTTGCTGATTTGATATTTTATTCATATTTGGAGAGTATATTCATAACATAGTTTTATACAAGTGTAGGTAAAATATGTATATTGATATTTGTTATGTAAATACATATGTAAGTCTGTATGTTAAATTTGACTGATTTTGTCTTCAGGAACGTTCAAACCACAGAAAATAGTCTGGGAAGATTTCTATGTTTTTTGCTTTGAAAAAGTACAAATAAGACAGAAAACTTTAATAGAACTCACCCAGGAAACTATCTGAGCCTTTTATCTTTTTAATGTATAGAATTTTTTTTTACTACAATTATGGTTTTTGTATTCAACTTTTCTTTCTATTTATCTTAATTTTTTAAAAAAATTAATATTTTATAGAAAAACAATTAATGCATGTATACTTTCAAATTTATTGCTGTAATATTCTTAACATTTTACATTTGTCTCCTCTACATCCCTCATTAATCTTGCCAAAGGTTCATGTAACTTTTGAGAGAACTAACGATTGTATAGACCAAGTCTGATTTTTATTTGCCTTTTCATTCGTTGTTTTGCTTTGTTTTGTTTACACTGATTAATCAGGTTTTATTTTATTTTATTGTTTATTTCTTCTTACTTTCCTTGCATTTGCATTTGTTTGGTGGGTCTTTACTCTCTCTCTCTCTCTGTGTGTGTGTAATCCTTATTTAATTATATTTTCACTATTTTAAAAATAAATGGTTAAATGCTGTAAGTTTTTCCAAAAATTACTTTAGTTATATTTCATAAATTTTAAGGAATAGAACTTTAGAAATTATTACAATAAATACTTTTACTTTTAATTTTTTCTTTATCAAATAATTTAATTGCCCAAAGAAATGATTTTTTTTCTTGTTAACTTCTATTTTATCATATTTGATACAAAAAATGTTTCTTATTTTTTATCTTATATTTATTTTTTGTCTTGTGATTCAAGATTTCCTTTGAGATTTAATATGTTACTGGTTTTTATAATTTTTTTAGGTAATTAAAAATAATGTGCAATTTTTCAAGGAAGCTGAAAGACACACAATCAAAACACTAGTATCTATTTATTAGAACTCATTATTTTTATTTTTAAAGTGTATCTTCATTTATGTTAGCATCTTGATCTTTCAATTTGGAAAGCATTTTAGTTTTCTATGATAATGATAGCTCTGTCAGTTTTATTTATAACTTGTTTTTAATCTTCTTATATATATACACACACATGTATATGTATTATCTCTTATATTTTTATAAATATTTTATATATTGTTGCTATGTTAATTGGAGCATAAAATTCATCATCATAATGGTGTTTTAACCATTATGGTTAAATACATAATGGTGTATTTAACCAGCTTTAAATATTATATAAAATATGATATAAATTTAAAATAAGTTATTTAGTCTCATTTTAATTTTTGGCATTCTGAATCCTTTTTTTCACCTATATATGAGATAACAGACAATGTATAAATCACAATAAAAGAAATGTAATTGGCTATAAATATCTATATATGCATATATACATATATATGCGCACATATATGCATATATGTAGCCAATTATATTTTTCTTTTATGTATAGTTATATTTTTAGCATTCCATTTTCAGTGTTTTCTGCTGTTTCATTTTAGACATGTCTATTTTAAATCATTATCCTATTCCCCCTTTCTGTAGTCTTTTTGGTATTAGTTAAAGATTTTGGCTTTCTTTATTAAAGAAAATGGTTTGAAAGGTATACGTACTATTTCCATTCTAGAAGCTGCTTTAAAATTTTAGTAAGCATATTTAAATTTAAGTGTTAATCTCAATAATCAACCACTGTAAGCTTCTTTTTTTTTCTTTCTATAGCATACAGCCTTTATCAGGCTTTTAATTATTTCTACATCTACTCTTCTATGCATTTATGGTTGAAATTATTGGAAAGTTTCATTTCAGATAAGTATGTCAGCTGTAGCAGTGGTAGTACTAACAGCATCATTAGTATTATTATTTACTTAATGTCTCTATTGTACAGGAAGCCTGTATTAGTAATTGTATTACTTTTACTACCAAATTAACACTTATTATTCATATTTAAATTGCACTTTTGTGGCTTATTTGCTCTACATTTTTGTTATGTTACAATCATTGCATAGCTTGGGTTATTTTTACTGTTTTTCTAGAATATGTACTCAATTAACTTGGCTTCTGTGTTTTCTGAAAGGCTGTGAGTGGTAAACTTTCTGAGTCTTTGCTTGCCTGAAAGTAGTATCTTCAGTTGTCTTTACACTGCGTAAGCTATCCTGATTAGAAAGTTCCAGGTTAAAAATAACTTTTCTGGCCAGGCGCAGTGTGGCTCAAGCCTGTAATCCCAGAACTCTGGGAGGCCGAGGAGGGTTTATCATGTGAGATCAGGAGTTTAAGACCAGCCTGACCAGTGTGGTGAAACCCCATCTCTACTAAAAATACAAAAATTAGCCAGGCAAGGTGTCTCATGCCTATAATCCCAGCTACTCTGGAGGCTGAGGCAGGGGAATCACTTGAACCCAGGAAGTGGAGAGTGCAGTGAGCTGAGATCACACCATTGCACTCCAGCCTGGGCAACAAAAGCAAAACTATGATAAAGAAAGAAGAAAGGAAGAAAGAAAGAGAGAGAAGGAAGGAAGGTAGGAAGGAAGGAAGGAAGGAAGGAACTTTTCTGTAAACCTATAGTATCATTTATCTTCTAAAATTCTTCAAATGGTTAAGGCAAACATGATTTCCCTTTTTTGAAACAAGATTGCCCATCTCCCAAGCTATTAGTTCTTGATTGTTCATTATTATTATTCCTCTAACTGACCCACCAAAGCAATAAGAAGTGTAAGCAATAGTTCATCAGGACATACATAGAGAATTCTTTTTTTCAATATTGAGTACTTTCGTAACAACGAATTCCATGTATTACCCAAAAGTTTCAATTCCCCAAACTCTTTACTAATGACGCAGTTAGTTTCTGAGTTTTAATAAATGCTGTGAATTTTCTCTCACTTATGCTAACATCTCTAACCTGCTGGGCAGTGAGGAGTTCCCTAATGTTTTTCTCAGGAAAGGGTACCCTGGGTATTTATTCTTGTTAGTCACTTCTGCTTGCCCTTGGTTTTCAGTTTGGCAGACCTACAGATGGTTGATATCCTCCTTAGGCTATTTTTAAAGACTCTCCCTACTATCCTTTGAGATCTTACTAAGAACTGTGTGGAATTCTCTTTCTGTCCACTTCCTATCTTACTAGCACATGGTCTTTCATGCTTTTGGAATGTTTCTGTCTTTTTCACTTTAAACACTGAGTCCTAACTTGTGGTGAGAGATTCAAGATTGTCAGTTAGAAGCTAGAGTTCTCCAGATCAGAGACACATGGAATATACCATGCCTCTGCACCAAAGACTCTAACCTGATGTTTGCAGATACTGATACTTGGTGACTTGCTTAGTCATTCTGCTGACTTCTCGCTGGACTTGCTCTTAAGGTTAGATTTTTCTGTAGTGCTAGATTCTGAAACCTCCTCTCTAACCTCAGATTACCTTGTGATCTTTCTTCATGCTAAGCGCCCAGGAACTTACCTTTCCTCAGGTGTTATCTCTAGTTGTGAGTCTAGCTGTCTCCTTTATGGTAGGTCTCCAAAGTCAGCGTCTTCACACACCTCTGACAGAAGTTGCATAAAACTGTGGCTGTCTTAGAATAGGATGCATCAAGAGTGCATCTGTGTGTGAAGAGTGCAGACAGACGACACTCATTCTGGCCGTCTGGTCACTCTGTGTGTCTCTATCTTGACCCCCTTTAGGTAGGAGGACACACCATGCTCCCCATTCGCTGGATGCCCCCTGAAAGCATCATGTACCGGAAGTTCACTACAGAGAGCGATGTGTGGAGCTTCGGGGTGATCCTTTGGGAGATCTTCACCTATGGAAAGCAGCCATGGTTCCAGCTCTCAAACACAGAGGTAAAAAGGGGGTGTGTAGGAATCTTGATTGGGGAAGACTGATAAGCGCTATCTCAGGCCAGGTCTTGCACATACTGGACAAGACATTAGGTGGGATTTAGAGCCAGCAGAGTGAATGTAGGCATTAGTGGGAGCAGAGAGTTTCTTAGTAGGAAAAAAAAATGGAACTATAGGAAATGTGGCATAATTGTCAAAAGAGCATGAAGCCAGACATCTAAATTGAGACTCGATTCATGGTTCTGTTCAGTATGCTACCCTTAAAAATCACAAATTTTTCACTATGACAGAAAATGAAAACAAAGAACAACTATGAGTTTTTCAATTGTGCCATCTTGTGGAAACACCCGCTGCTTAGTATGCCCACATACTCTGTGTGTATAGAGGTTTTAGGTATGCCAAGCCAAGGGGTGTACAGGAGGGTCAATTCGGAAAGGCCAGTTTTAGAACTGACAGAGCACGTGTGAATGTCCAGGAATAGAATAAACCATTCTAGTAATAAATACTCATTATGTTTTTATAGTTGTAATTGCAATAATAAAAATTTAAATAATAATAATAAATGCTAGTAAACATATTTTAATAGTAGCTGGCATTTAGTAGAAGGCACTTTTCTAAGCGTGTTAGCTCTATGAACTCAGTAATTTTTATGAAAACCCCTCTGGAGATTCAGGTTAAAGGAAGGGAGTCTGTTTGGGGTACTGAAGCAGACTGGCCAGCATCTCACAGGTAAGAACCTCTGAGACAGAGACGAAACCTGACCTGTAATCCTAGGTCTCCTCTGCCTCCCAAGCCCATCAAGATGCTTCTTGGTGATGCATAGACCAGGCCATGTTGCTCCAGAGAATTCAGTACAGTTTGTAGGCAGTAAGGTGCTCAGTCTTTCAGCCCAGCCAACCTATGAAACGCTGCAGTCCTTTTTATGGTCTTCCATTTGCTGGGAAAATGTAAACACGAGGCTTTTAATATTAAAATCTTATTTGAATATTGAAGAGAGTGTCTTTTTTCTCGGGAGCTGTGTTTGTCTCTGCTCTCCTATGTCTTGACCACGTAATTAAGTGAATTTCAAAGACTGAAAAGAAAGTGTTTTTTAAAATGTGTAATCTCTCATGATTCACAAGCTCAATGGGGCCTGACCAAATTTCCAAAAGTAGTACAAAATATTTTCACAATCTTTTAAAACAATGAAAGTGTGTATACTAGAACCCATTTGTTATGGTGTTTTAAAAAGTTGTTACTGTTTTCCCAGGGGAGGAGAGGTTGGGAACACACACACACGCGCATGCACACGCACATGCGTGCACCTGAACACTGCTTCCATGTAGTTTGGTGGCCCCAGTATACAGAGGTTCTGGGCTGAGGTTGCTATGGGTCTTAATAGAAGACTTAGCCTCTATACTTGAGCTGGCTCATAGTAGCTAACGGGGTGTTTGCCGTTTCTTCTAAGACTGCCAGAGGAGGCATTGGCCTTAAAGGCAGGCTTTCTGCCCTCAGCCACTTTCCCCACTCCACCAACCATAGCAGTCACATACTGGCAGTCACTGATCATGGGTTCGTCCATGGAAATCAACAAACCTGGACAGTCCAACATTAGGAGAGATGCTCTCGGGTGCCTTGGATCTTGGCTTCAGCAGCTACTACTGTAGTTCGAACTGAATCCCTTTTCCTGGAGGTGAAGGTAATGGAAGGTGGAAATAGGGCTCCAATACGATGGGGCATATAAGCTGCTGGATACTTATCAGGCTGAGGGGCCGTCGCAAACTCCAGGGTGGATATAACCAGGCAGATGCTGGTGCAGTGATGGTTTGATGAGCCCTCCCGAAGTCACCGTGACATGAGACAACGCTGAAGACAAGGCACGGCTGAGCCAGCGTAGGGAGATGCAAAGGGGAAAAAGGCGGTGCTCTTGCCTAGTTAGATACAGAATAATGGGGGCAGAGAAGGGAAATCAAATTTGTTCAGCTGCTGAGCTAGAGATTATTCTGTATATTTTTATCATTATGCCCATCTTTAAAGGCAGAAATTGAAGTTCAGGGTCAGTGAGTTGACCAGTTATACAGTGGTAGAGTTAGGGAGAAGTTAAAACCAACCTGAAAACTAGACGATGAAACTTAGAAAATGCACGTGTTTGGTGTCAGCAAGGGAGTGTCTTTGAGGACTTGGGAATGAACTGCACATTTCACACGTGGTTCTCAAGTGGCCTGCTGGGGTCGGCCAGCCACACGTTGCTTGTTTTCTTCCTATTCCTTCTTATGGCCACTCTTTCAGTATGTTGGGCCATACAGTCCCCTTTCTTGGCCTTATTTTATCCTTACAACACTCCTAGGAGGGGTTTAAGGCAGACATTTGATTCCATCTTACAGATGGGCATGTTGAGATCCTGAGGTTAATGGACTTGACCTGGACACCCAGAAGGCAGTGGTGAATCAACAGGTAGTCCTAGTGTTAAGGACTTCAAGAGAAACTGGAAACATGATTTAGTGTAAACAGCAGGGAAGGATGGACCTTGCTGCAAAAGGGTCCTATGTCATGACTCAGAGGCAAGTATGGTGACGTGCCCAGAATCTGCAACTGGGAGCTTGTCAGGAATGAGAGGTAAGAGGAGATAGGCATGCAGGGGCCGGAGGCTGCTGAGCTCCTTGAAGGGGGTTTCAAAGTGAGGCAGGCTCACGAGAGAGGGAGGGACGGGTCAGAAGCCCATCTTCACTATCAAGTGAAAAATGAATGCAGCTCCGTCATCCAGATGAGATTCAGGACTAGAGAAGAAGAGTGAGGTAAAAGAGGAGAGAGTGTGGGGAGTCATTGGTCAATGGGGCCTGTCCCAAGATGTGGAGGACAAAGGGCAGCAGAGGGCTCCATCTGCCAGCGGTGCTCGCTGCCCCACATGCTGGACGCGCTGGACAGACCAGTAAACCCATGCCGTCTGCAGCCCAGCCATTAGCGTGTGCTTGTGAGAGCCTGGGCTCTGTGTTAAAACTGATCAGGGAACTTGTTGCTTTTTGCCGAGTCTGAGCCACAGGGCCAAGGCTGGGCTTTGGGTGTAACTTCCTTGTTCTCCTCATCTTTCAGGTCATTGAGTGCATTACCCAAGGTCGTGTTTTGGAGCGGCCCCGAGTCTGCCCCAAAGAGGTGTACGACGTCATGCTGGGGTGCTGGCAGAGGGAACCACAGCAGCGGCTGAACATCAAGGAGATCTACAAAATCCTCCATGCTTTGGGGAAGGCCACCCCCATCTACCTGGACATTCTCGGCTAGTGTGGATGGTGGTCATGAATTCATACTCTGTTGCCTCCTCTCTCCCCGCCTCACTTCTCCCTTCCACCTCACGACTCCTTCCATCTTTGACTGAAGCAAACATCTTCATATAAACTCAAGTGCCTGCTACACATACAACACTGAAAAAAGGAAAAAAAAAAAGAAAAAACCCTGTAAGGCAGTTTGGCATATATATATATACATATATATATATATTTATATATCTAACTATCTATCAATCTATATCTACAGAGAGATGCCTTCTCTAGTACATGGAGAAGCTGCTGATACACAAAACCACAAGACTTTAACAACACAGAAACTCTAAAATATTAATAATACAAAAGAAAATTCCCTTCGACTTAAGCTGTGGCCCATGCCTCTAATGCTACAGCTTTTTGGCACAGAAGACCTGGACCATTCAGAGAGACAATCTTTGGGATGGGAGCTTTGGGATGGGAGGAGCTAAGGTGGTGCTCATGGCTACTGTGTGTGCCTGATACCCCAGAAGCTCATCACAGGCGCATGGGGGTATCACATGGCTGCACTCAGCGAAGAAGTGATGCTGGAGCAGGGCCCTTGCCTCCACTTCTTCCCCATTTCCTCCACTTCAGGACAGTGTTCTAACTTGTCCATTCTAAAGAGTATAATCTTGATGCTTTTAGGACTCGATGATGGCACCTACGGGTAAATGCAGAACAGACAACCCCACAACACAAAACCACCACAAGAGCTGACTACATCTGTCCTGGGTGTAAGCTTCTTGCTGGAGTTGCAAAGGAAGTGTCTTTCTATTCTCAGACCTTAAAGAACTGGACTTTCTGGACTAAATGAACCATAGAAGAAAAAATAGCTGAAACCTGAACCCTGCCAAGACACTGCCACCTGTCTTTTCCATCATTGCAAAGACTCCTTGGCCTCACCTCCCATTTTCAGGCCTCCGGGAAGCTTGGGGGGTTAGGAAACCAGGTCTCCCACGTTATCTTTGAATGTATACACAGAAAGTTTTAGGGTTGCATTAGCAAGAGGTTTGGTTGCTTGTAGGTCATTATAAAGAATGGCCGCTGGTCCTCAGTTTCTTATCCTGCATCCTTAGATCCTAGACCCCACTTCCTGGGTAAACCCCACTGCCAGGGAAGGAAGGCAGGTCTAGTGAGAGGCTGGAGCAGTAAGTGTTTCAGGGAACCAAGCAGTGGAGTGGGTGAGAGCCAGCAGAGGAGAATCTACTTGGCACCTGCGCTGGGCTCCTTGGCATTCTATTCACGTTTCCAGCCCCTGGGAGGATTGATGCATCTGCCTTTGAGCTGTTGTGAAAACGCAGGGGCTGAGAAATCACTTTTGTGGGCTGGGGTAGGGGGAAGAGCTGAGGCTTCTCTGGGAGATGTCCAATGAGCAGCCAGTGCTGCAGGCGTGGCATCTTAATGAGGACTGAGGCCTGACTCGAGAGAGGGAAGGAAACATCTGGGCTGGAGCCAGCTCCCTCTGCCCCAGCACCAGGGAATCACTGCCTTCCTGGCTGCTGCCACAGACCACAGTGGGGCTAACCTCTGGGCCTCCCTGTCACATGACACATAGAAGCCAACAGCCTGGCCCCACAGAGCTCTTCTGCTGGGGAGAAGAGGATGTGCTCCTCCCAAGCCATCAGGCCCCACCACCTCATCCCAAGCACAGAGCTACCTAATGGACTGACCTTTGCCAAACTGGAGCTCACCCTGGAAGCCTCTGGACTATCCATTTCCCTGCCAGCTGAAAAGACAGCCAGCAGTCTGGACGTCCTGGTTAGCTGAAGGCAGCTGAAACGTGTGCCTCCCTGTGTGGGGTTTATGACTGAATTATGTGTTTGTGGTTTTGCTTCTTTTTGTAGACCCACAAATATTTTTATTTGAATAGTAAAGAGCTGTGCTCAGATTGTAGCTATGGTTGGGATTTGGGATCAAGAAGGCTGGTTAGCTGGACTGGGAGGGGAAGGAGGTGAGTTGGGATTTGGGTGTGAGTTTTCTCACTCTGCTATGTCCCCAGCCCCCGAGGACTTTGGAGGAAAGCTGTTTGGATTGACCACCTCAAAAGAACCCTTTGCTGTCTTATGACACTTACCCTCTTATCTTTCCACCTAGAGGACCGCTATGCTGGGGCTGTGAGTGCTGGTGAAGTGGCACAGTCTGGCTTTGATCTGGGTAACTAAGAACAGCTGTTCTGGGAGGGCATGGTCTGGAGGGGCCTCAGGGAAAAGTGTCTTCTGGTTAGAAGTGAGGTGCCAATGCTCCTGTTGCTTCCCTTCTCCCATATCCTCCCCTGAGCAGACACTGTGTGGCTTCTGTCTTCTTGGCTGTGTGTTTCAAACATGATAGTCACTGATGGGTTGGGAAGAACCGGGAGAAGAACTGGGTTGGAGACGGGTGAAAACTGGGAATAAGGTCCATGCTGTGGTTTTATCTCCAGGCGCCGCGTCATGATGGCCTCATGAAAGAAGGTGATTCCTTTGGGAACAAAAAGCAATGAAGGAGACTATGGCTGTCAGATTGCTGGTACCTCAGGCCCACAGGCTTTCACGTTGATCTTGGGGTCATGTCCTTGCCATGTCAGTTGTAAGCAGCTGGCTGTGGAACAGTGTGAGAGAGGGTGGCAGAGCAGGGCAGGATAGAGAGGGGGACCTGCCTTCCTACAGCCCTGACTGTCCTCTCTATACAGAGTCTACTTTGATTTATTAACTTTGACAGATTAAAAAAAGTAGCTTTTTTTTTTGAGAGTAAAAAAGGCAGAAAATAGGGCCATGGAATTTGCAGGGGTACACTATGGTCCTGGGAGTGTGGCGTGTATTGGGACACATCTGTCCCTCCTATACTGGGACAAGACTGATAAGGCTCAGTCCACTATGTCTTAGTTTCCCCATCTGCAGAATAAGGGGTACACCTGCTAATCTCTGGCTCCTTCAAGCTCTGAATTCTTAGATTCTAACAATGTAGCATCACTGTTACACTTTTCTCAGCACCACTCTGGATTGCCAGGACAGCCTTACATAGGTGGGAGGCAGTCACTGGTGCGGGCTCACTGGGCCTGGGCCAGGCTGAGTTTCAATAAGACACTCCTCTCCTTCTTTGCTCCTTGCCTCAACATTTCCCAGTCTGAAATGTCTGAGACGCCTGTAAGCCAGGAGGGCAGTGTTTGCTTGGCTTCCCATCCTGGCATTCCTACATAGCAGAAAAACACTGTTATGGTCTATTTATTTATTTATTTATTAGGAGCCTAATGTGATTAAATGTGTCATGAAATGACATCTGATTGGCCAGTATGGCCACTCCAGTTCACTTCACCCTCATCTTCCCATACCAAAGTCCACGTTTTAGAAGACCGTGTCACGTTGCTTCCGAGAGCTTAGCTTTGAAGTGAGCTCTTTCGTGTCTTTTGGCAAATGCTCCCAGGGCACCCAGGCTGGTCTCTCTGCCGTGCTGACCTCACCGGATCCTCCCCTGCACTGACTGAGCGTAACCTGCTTTTGGATGTCTACCCTGGCTGTTGTGGTCAAGGGACCTCCCAGTTCTTCTTTGCTTTGGATGGGAACCTAATGCTGCCCTGAACTCTGAGGGGACCTTGGGCATCGCTAAGCCTCCTCTAGTGAACAAACAAGAAAAAGGAGGTGGTGCTTCCTCCACTCAGCAGATCATGCACAAATTATCCCCAGACAGAGGCTTCCCACTTGAGGCAAAGCGTCTTCAGTCCTTCTGGGTTCAGGTTAAACATTAACGTCCTTCTCTAGTGATGCTTACTTTGCGGAATACACTAGTGCAAGTCATTTTGGTGCTAAACACTACAGAAACCAACACCAACAGGAGAGCTGTCAGCCAGTTTCTGTGGCTGCACAAGGCTCAGCTCAGAAGTAGAAGTGAGTCAGCCGTGCCGGTAGAGCACAGGATGCATTGGAAGTTAAGTAGAAATGTGGCAGGGTGAAAAGACCAGCAAAATTTCTGATTTTGTTATTATTGGTTACCATGTGGCCTTGATCAAATCAGCTAATTTCTCATCTGAGACATTTAAGAGGTTTTTACAGATATTTTTAGAGTCCTTTTCATTTTTTTAAAAGCTATGTTCTGGTCCCACCTGTTTTTTTTCCCTTTTTTCTTTTTTTTTTTTTTTCAAATGCTTGCTTGTTAAAAATAAGAGATAAATGATAAGGGAGGAGACCAAGAAAAGTTACCAATGGCAATGGCAAGAGATTGAATTTAGAAGGTAAGGCAAGAAGGCCTGGTGACTGGTAGATTTGAGGATTATTGTGCAGGGAACCAGGCGGACAAGCCTGAGACTTCACTTTTATGCTCTTCAAAGGTGGCCTAGCCCCTAGCCTGCATTTCACCAGGCTGTTCTCTTCAGCTAGTCAACCTTCCCTGTTCAAAACTTGGAAAATTCCAAGTTTACACATCATTATTAAGTCATCGATACGGGCTTGGGAAAATGTTTTGGTGTTGCTTCCATGCTCACACTTGGCATAAACTATTTTAACATATGGAGACAGGCCTGCCCATCTCTCATGCAGGCTTCTGGCAATCTGAACTCTGGGTCAAAACTGACAAGATTTTTATCTTTGGTAAGAGGATGGGATGTTAGAAAGAGGGCAGCATCTTAAGTTGCAGACTATTCGCCAAAGTCCTTTCTATTCAGGAATGACTAATGGCTTGCTTTGTTCCGCTTTTCCAAACCAAACAGCAGTGCTATTACCTTGACTCCAAAGTACAGTGATTGCAATGGACGGTCTTGAGATTAAGGTTCTTTTCAGCGCTTTGCTCAGAATCTGGAGCAAAGAAATGTCCAGGGATTTGTGTTGAATGGACCTACTTGCCAGCAGTCCACAGAGCTGTTCTCAAAGGCCCCCGAGATGTCTGTTGTCTCCTTTGGTAGGGAACCAACTTGCTAGAAGACCAAAGGGCATTTGCCTTAGAGAGAAAAAAAATGGCACCTTTAGTTCAGGACATGGGTGCTGAAGTCACTGTGGTTTTGGTTTCTGAAGGTCCACTTTCTTTTTTCATACCAAATACATTGTTTTGGCCAATATTTAACAGGTTTTTAAAGAAAAATTCCAAGTTTATGCATCATTATTAAGACATTGATATGGGCTTGGGAAAATATTTTGGTGTTGGTTAATAATACTGGGAGTGTCTTGCTAAAGAAAGTATTCATATATGTACGTTTTGTGGTTATTTCTATATGTTTGATTGGAATGGCTTAAAAGAAGGCCTCTTTGAAGTCAGCAAAGTGATTTCAATTTGGGATATTCTTTGACCCTTACCATTCTTGCGGATAAGAAATCCGGAGATGAGCTGGCCTCAGAAACATTCAGGAAGATTCCGAGGGAAATCTGTCGTCTTGTAAAGTTTGATCATTTGGTGCTCTCTGAATTAAATTATGCTGACTAACATTCTGAGCATATGAAAATCATTCTTCCTGGTTGCCTGATAGATGACCACACAGGAACCATTTCAATCACGTCTTATTTGGGGGTTGGTATTGAAGTCACCAGCACTGCAGGGGAAACCACCCTGCTAAGAGGGATGAGACAGAGAGTGTGAGGTTCACATTCAGTTGCTCTTTCTGAAAGGCACTGCTGACCGTAGTAGGTAGGGTGAATATTTGTGTCACTGCATTGGATGTTAGAACTTTGGCTCTGAGCATAGACTGCTTTACCCTAATGAGCTGAATCTCGGCTTCTGATAGAGGCTCTTCCTGGTGCATTCTCCTCAAGCATAATTTCCTTATTTGCCTATAAAAATATCTACAGTTTGCAACAAGAAATGTTTGTGGCCTATGTCTCAGTGTACTCGAATAGATGCTCTTCTGTGAGACTTGTGGAGATGAGGTTGGGAGGAGGTGGTCCCTTCAAAGTATTTGGAATTCTTGATCAAAGAAATAAAACTCAGATTCCCTTTCTTCTAGTTTACTTCTAAGTTCGAAATTTAAAGCAAGACCTGGTTTGACATTTGCAGTAGGAGATAATGTCTTGAAATGGTGAGGTAGGCTATCTTTATTTCATCATAGGGAGGAAGGGCAGTAAGTTGTATTAATTTTTCCTAATCACCCAGGCAAATATTGCTTTTTGTGTAGTGTCATGACTGACATTTATAGCTTGCAGGAAATACTTCCAGCTGACAGAGCTAGAAGTTTCTAATAGATGTTTCAAGATAACAGAAGTGAGGAAGGGCCTGTTGAACATCTACTTCTGAGAATGACTGAGGCACTTAGGTCTTGCTTTTCAGTTTATTATCTTATGAAAGGAGTTGGTTTCTTCTCATTTTAGGCAATGAGAAATTTAGACATCTTTGCTGAAAAGCCGAAGGTAGATTGAGAGCTCAAATATTCACTGTTTACTCTGACATTCTTTTATTTTATTTACAAGACTTTTTTATATGTTTAATTTTTTTATTTCCATAGGTTATTGTGGAACAGGTGGTGTTAGATTACACGAGTACATTCTTTCCTGGTGATTTGTGACATTTTGGTGCACCCATCACTCAAGCCGTGTACACTGCACTGCATTTGAAGTCTTTTATCCCTCACTCCCTTCCCATCCTTTCCCCCGAGTCCCCAAAGTCCATCATGCCATTCTTATGCCTTTGCATCCTTATAGTTTAGCTCCCACATATCAGTGAAAACATATGATATTTGGCTTTCCATTTCTGAATTACTTCACTTAGAATTATAGTCTCCAATCTCATCCAGGTCACTGAGGATGCCATTAATTCATTCCTTTTTATGGCTGAGTAGTATTGCATCATATATATATATATATATATACATATATATATATACGTATATATATGTATATATATATATACGTATATATATATGTGTGTATATATATATACGTATATATATACATATATATATATATCTTTAATAATACATACGTATGTATATACCACAGTTTCTTTATCTGCTCATTGATTGATGAGCATTTGGGTTGATTCCACTTTTTGCAATTACAAATTGTGCTGCTATAAACATAAGTGTGCAAGAATCTTTTATGTACAATGACTTCTTTTCTTCTGGGTAGATACCCAGGAATGCGACTGCTGGATCACTGACATTCTTTTAGATGTGACTTCCCTAAAACCCAACAAGAAATGTAAACACTGAAGTCCAAGTCTGATAATTATTCTTTCATTTAAGAAGAGCACATGGGAGTTTTACATAGTATTTTTAAAAACTAATTTTGTAGTATGTTAACTGGTAGGACACATTCAATTTTTTTTCCTCACTGGGGATCTGTCCATGTTTCATCTTGATTTAATAGCTACCTGGCATATAACTGATGCCTCTGAGCCTACCTCTGAAGTAAATAAATAAACCTGGTCCAAGTGATTTGATTTCTGCCATTGTAGTGGAGAAATCAATCTCAGTGAAGAAGACTTTTTTTTTTTTCATTTTTCTTCTTTTTTTCTTTTTCCTTTGGCTCCTATCCTCCTGCTTCCATGGGACTGAGAATCCAGCTTCTCAAACGCCATGGAAGTCTTAATACAAGGTGAATCCCAGGACCACAAACAGTTTGGACTTCAGTGAGAAAATTGGCACTGAATGATTCGGCACACAAAGCAGAAGACTTTCATTTCCTGTAGGCAGGATGGAATTGACTGTTACATTAAGACTTCTGAAGAAGCCCTGCCCTGGAGTAATTTCAGTGCTGTCAGATGCTGTTGACATCTAGATTAACCTCTGTGCAGTGAATCTCGCCGCAAAGCTCATTGACATGCATGTAATGTGTCTCTACAGATCCCATCTGGAACCCTTGGTGGCCCACCCTCAGCAACCCTCCTCTTCCTCCCTGACCCTGTTTTCTCTGTCCATAAACTTTTAGCCTCCAGGAGCAGAGGAGCCATGGCTGGGATCTGACCTTAGGACAGGGAGTTTTGGCTTCTCTCTGACCATGGTGCTGAGCCAGGCTTTCTGCTCAGAGTGACAGTGATCATCATCATACTGGGTTTCCCCTGAGGGAACTGCAAATTAAGGCATGAAAACCACTGTGCTGATAACAGTTTTACAGCATATCTCAATGCTGCACAAAGTGAAATGTTTTAAAAGGAATGAATGTGTCCTAAGTCATTGAGCCCTGTTCTGGGCTCTGCAATCCTCCAGGGATTCAAGGTCCAGCTGAAACAAGGTCATGACTGCATCTAGGTGGGACAGGTGCATTCTGACAGACAAGGTGTTTGTCTTTTGTGTGGGTATTTCCTATGGTCTTTACAAGAGAGGTAGCCGCAGCTCCTGTTTCTTCTAGTTGGGACGGAAGATGTAGCTATCTTCAAGCACTGGTTGGTCAGCTCTTTCTTTAAGGGATGGCTGGCTCCAGAATGAGCCAAACTAACTCTACAATTTCACATTGTGGCACAACAACCACATAGAACCTCAAGGCTGAAATTGCAACTTCTCTGCAAAATAGGGCCATTGATTTCATCAAAAATTTTGAGGAAAGGCCTTTAGCTTAGATTCCGCCACCTTCAGACTCCACAGAGTTGGTCAGCACGATAGCACACATCTTTGGAAACTTACCTCAGGGTTTTAGAATACTTGACCCTGGCCAGGCACGGTGGCTCAAGCCTGTAATCCCAGCACTTTGGGAGGCCGAGGCGGGTGGATCACGAGATCAGGAGATCGAGACCATCTTGGTCAACATGGTGAAACCCTGTCTCTACTAAAAATACAAAAAATTAGCTGGGCATGGTGGCGCATGCCTGTAATCCCAGCTACTCGGGAGGCTGAGACAGGAGAATTGCCTGAACCCAGGAGGTGGAGGTTGCGGTGAGCCGAGATCGCGCCATTGTACTCCAGCCTGGGTAACAAGAGTGAAACTCTGTCTCAAAAAAAAAAAGAATACTTGACCCTAATGTCTAGATAACAATTTTCTCTGAGATTTTACTAATTCTAATTCCCTCTTAAATTGTTTTTCCTACTTGCCACTTGTCTTTAATTTAAATAATAAGAATATCCTTGCACATTCTTAGGTATTTCTTTAGGAGAATTGGAAGTTTCCAGCCAAGGAGATTGTGTTTGTGGATTGGGAAGAGAGCTTTCTGGGCTGAACAAGGTATAAATCCTGCAGAGGCAATCTTGATGACTTTTTTTAAAAGCAATTATCAGCATTGTGTTTTATTCTCAGTGCTCATGTTCATAATGCAAGCTATATTCACCTTTTTTATTATTTATATTATGATTCTTATTCATGTGTACATGTATGCACGCACACACGCAAAAGCCTCCACAGTCCTACTGGTATACACGTTCATGTGCCCCATTTGTGTCACTTCCATTAATCTCTGGGTGCATGCATTTGCAATGCTCCTCTTTCCTGTTATTATCGATACATACTCACATACCCTTTGACTTTCTGCACTTTGGATGCCATGAGATTAGGGCTTTTTCAAGGGAGATTAAATCTTGAGTTTCTTTAAATCTTCATACTTAAAGGCAGGATTGGTTTTCATGGAGAAACAAAAACTAAACCGAGCCTTGATTCAGATTTTATTTAATTAACTTTCTGTGGAATTTGTTCTTGAGTAATAAATACTAAGTGCAAATGTAATGGACAAGGGGTTCGAGCAGATTATTGAACCTATCTTGTAGCTGAAACAAGTGGTTAGATATGAAGCTCAGACACTCAAATTGAAGTAGAACATGAAGCAAAACAGTTAGCATGGGGCAAGAGAAGAACACTGGACTAGGAGCGAGACTGCTAGATTGTCACTTGAGTGTCCTTTGCTTAATATGGGCAGCTGACAGTTGCAGGCCTGTGACCCTCTAATTCCAGTGATGGGACATGACAATCTGTCTCTCATCCATTGTTCAAGTTGGTTATCACTGAAGTATTATATATTAGCTCAAGGTCCTGCCCTGAACAAGTCTGCAAACATCCTCACTCTGAAGAGTCAGTCTCATTTTTGTTTTACGGCAGTTCATCCGTTGTGGCCCTCCTTTGGAAGCTGTCCACACTCTGAACACTTGCTCTCCAGCCCCTGTTCCCACCCCACACTTCAAGGCCAGGGAAAAGCCAGGGAAGGTCCTATTGGCTCATCTCCCTCTTTCCTGGCCTGCATATCAACCAAGCTTGGGATTTAGCCTACATTTTTAGAGAGGAAAACAAGTGTGTTCTCCCAGCCATCAGTATCTTTTCAGCTCCATGGACCAACTGATTAGCACCTCATTAGCGCCTCATCAGTTGCTTTTGCACAAGAGACTCTGGGACAACAAGCCTATTACGCCTCAGTCTGTCTTTTTGAAGTCAAACCATCCTTCTGGCTTGGTTAGGAAAGGCGAGCCTTTCTACAAACAGGTTTTCTTTTAATTTCCTCTGTTGTTTTCTGGCTGTTAACTATATGGATAAATGGTAAAACATAATTTTCATTTTTTAGGCCCCATGAGTGTGGGTATGCTGCATTTCTGTGGATGAGGAGTTCCACATGTCAGCAAAGCATTTATTTATCTAGTGAAGTGGCCATAATATTGACACACAGATTTGCAGCAACACCCAAATCTTGAGGGAAGAAAGAGCCCTTTTCAAGCAAATGAAATCTTTTTCTGTGATGGCACCAGAAAGATTTATACCTTAAGAACAGAAATGAGCCTGACAATATGCTTCCTTTCTAGAAACAAAGAGGTAGAAGAAATTGCTGAAGAAGCTGGATGACCAAACCCTCTATTCCCCAAATCACTATGTATCAATAGATACTTCAACTCTGTCCCTTAAATGGCTCTGGAAAACACAAGTAACCATATTTGTTATTAAAAACAAATTCATAATGTCTAACCCAATCCCTTATTTTAATATATATACAAATTAAAATAATCCCATATGTATGATTATTATATGGGATATATTTACATATATATGTATATGTTTGTGTATATATATATTTACATATATGTAAAAATATATATTTTTTAATGCTGAGGATAGTTCCACATTGTTTTGTTTCTTGGTTCCTTCTAATATATTCAATGAGATCCATAATTTTTTCACTTTTATTTCTTTAGGAAAGAGTTGGGGTCTATTTTGAATGCTTTCTAGGATAAAACGGCAAAACAGATCGAAAGTGTGGTGGAGGGAGAATAATGGGAACAGGAGGCAAAGAACTTGCACGCTCCTATTTCCTGCTGAGAGATCTTAGAAAAACATTGTCTTCCCTTTGCATCAGTTTCTTAATATACAAAACAGAACTACTGTCAACCCCCTGCGTGCCACAGAGGGTTATTTGTGCACCAAATGAGATCATAACTGTTGACATGCTCTGTGAGCTGTACAGGGCCAGACAAACAGATAGAGCCCACTCTCTGGGCAGTGCGTGTGACACAGTCTTGCTGGGCACTGGGCTGAGAGACTGAGAGCCACTTTTGAGACATGCCATGTTTTGAGGTGTATCTTCCTTACATTTTTGTTGGTGTCTGGTTTCTAGATGTTTTGCCTTTAGCCTTCTTCACTTTGAGAATCTAGTGATGGAGAATGCTTTAAAAAATACAAGCAGACGGGGGGGATGCTTTACTTAGTTAGTTTCGTCATTGGAAAGGGACAGTTAGAGTTTGTTTTCAGGCCTGGAACCCGGAACATTTTGTAGCAAAATGGCATCTCCTGCTGCATTTAGTTGCTTGCCAGCCACTCTTGCTTTCATAAAATTCTGTTAATTTCAACATAATGTTTTGTAAAATAAGACTCTATGAAGCTTCCTCTATAAATTTGGTGGTATAACTAATCTTTCAGGAAACATCTGAAGGGATAATGATTTTTAAGCGGTATCCCGTTCTTTCCAGGACCAGCGTTTGTACATGGGGAAATAAGATAGGTGGAGCAATGCTAGACCACTCCTTTAAAAGGCTTGAGTGCCAATAAATAGGTGTGAGTGGGATTCCCACTGAGAAATGTGTTTGAGTGAAAATGAAACCCTTGGCAATGAATCCTGAGGCCAGGATGTCAAATTCACAGTATTCTGTCATCACAAACACCTGGGATTTTTTTCTAGAAAGGAAGCATATTGCCCCTGAAAAAATCCCAGGTGTTTGTGATGACAGCCACTGTTATAAGCACTCTGTGGTTGTGACTACATGGCAAGTAAAATTTTCTCAAATGTTATTTTTCGTAGATCTCCAAGTGACAATCGTGTGCATTGTATCTGACAAAATTCTGTGAATGATTTTCTAGAAGTATTTTGATCACTCCAGAAAGAATCAGCATAAAGCTGCATACCTAAAATCCTAAGAAATTCATAAGTATTTTCCTCAAGTTCGGGCTGCCTCCACTTCTCTTTTCTCTCTTTACCTTTTAACTCATAGAGAGGCAGTCTTGATGACAAAAGGTTGGGCTCAATCTTTGTCTTATGTAGGAAAGCAACACCTCTGTTCTGACCACTGTCCAGTAGACAAAGTCATCCCAGCTTTCGAAATGAGAGTCCAAATTGGGTTACCACTGGGATTTTGAATTATGATGTGAAATTGGAGAAGGCAAGCTGGTTCAGGGTGAAGTTTCATAATTTATTCTGATAATCTGCAGGGGATGATCTTCTTCACAGGACCGTGAACGCCTGCCTTGAACAAGCTCATTTCACGACCTAACTTCCTAGAGACAAGACTGATTATTTAAGGATTTCAAAGGTATCATTTGGGGAATAACTCACCAGGTAGAGAAAGTTTGATTTAAAATGTTAACAGGCACAAAATCTAATATTTCAATGCTTTCTCACCCTGCCCCTTCTCTGAGGGTTTAGCCTTTCTTAGGGGCCATTAGGATATGTCCTTTCCCAGGCTATAAATGATTGATTGTACTTCATGTCCCAAAGTAAAGGCTCCTCCAAGTTCATTGGACGTGAAGGCAACCAAAATGACCCATGTTATTTTTCTCTCACTTCACAGCATTGAGGACCTTCTTGTTTATGTGTGTGGGCCATGGTGGGTTAGCTTAAGGGAACTGTCAAATTAAAATGAAAGGAAAGCAAGTTCAGACAAGAAAACTCTCACTCTGAATGTGAAAGAAAATAGCAGTGTTATTTTCTGTGGCAAAGATTCGTGTGCTGTTGGGGGAAGAAGATTCATGTTATTTCTCAGGTAGATTTTACCTTCTGAATTTCTGTGTGTGTGTGTGTGTGTGTGTGTGTGTGTGTGTGTGTGTTGGCTGGTCGTGGGGTTTGGAGCCAGATAAAATGTAGTTGTTTATGAGTTTATATTTTCTCTTTAGCATAATAAATGCCCTGCTTATCTGCTTATTTTCTCAGAATGTGACCATAAAATTAGGAATTGAGAGGAATTCAGAGGCCCATGTCACAGGTCATAGTAAAGTTTTACCCAAATATTTCCTTCAGAAACATTTAGTCATAGCAAGCCAAATCAATTCTTATCTGCAACTGATATCAGAAAAAGAAATCAGTAGGTGGGGGCTGTAGACCGTGATGCTGCATCTATTTACAATCTTTCTTTTCCAAGGTTTTAGGGTTCATGATTCACATAAGGAAATTTTGGGGGAGCTACCACATCAGTACTTTGGCATGCATAGACTCTGTTCCCTAGGAAAACTAGGGTTGCTTCTGGGCTGATTTTGTTTGAAATGGCACATGTACAAAAAGAGACTTTTGGAATATGTTTTAAGCCTTTCGCGTGAGGTCAGCCTCTGCTGAAAGAGTGTTTAGTTTGACAGGCATGGTTTCTTGCTTCTCCCATCCCAGGGTGTAAATTCTGCAGTGATGCCTGAGTATATGTTTTCAGCACCAGGGACAGCAAACAACCTCCTGAATTGAAGGGCCCTGCTATCCTGATTGACCTCCCAGACCCAGGAAGGGCAACTGTTTTGTTTTCCTTTATTCCCTGTCCACTGGGGCCTCAACTCAGAAGTCTTCATTCTTTAGGTGCTTACATCTTTAATTTATTACCAAGCCTAGCTTAGCTGTCTGTCACATTCTTGACCTCCTCACAAGTGGGTTTGGAGTAAGACTCCCAGGTCTGCTGGCTCAGAGAAGTAGAAAGACAGACTTCATTTGAAGCGCATGCTTTAGAATAGGCTACCCCTACAGAAGTCTTTATAACATACCATTGACTTGTAAACCCCTAAATGAAAGACTGCTTATACGCAATCACTTTCCTTTTAGAATTTCTGCACATTTCTCACAATGTACAAGTTGACGTTTGACTCGGTGTGCATCTGGAGACAATATTTCACAGCAGTGGAGCAGAAGCTATGAACTTTGGGGACGGAAAAGGGCCCAGTGATGCTGCTGTTACGCATTTTGGACACTCGGTGGGGGCACTGCTTTGATTCTCAGCATCCACCCTTCAACCCTGAGTGCTCTTCAACAGCTGTTTTTGCCTTAAACAATCACAGTAAGAATGCAAATGACTCCTTGTGGCAGTCTTCAGGCCTGACTGAAGGGTGCACTGAGAAAACAAGGGGAGCAGAAGCACATGTTGTCACATTGCTTTGTGATTGGCCAGTTTTCATATAGCACAATGACAGACAGAGGTCATCCTAGAGTCAGCACTGTCTGCTCTTAACTAATTGTCAGCATCTTCTCCACTCGTGTCAGGATGAATCCCTTGTTGGTAAGGCAAGTCAGTCACTGCAGATTTCATCTTAGGTACTTGCCTTGTGTCTCACAGATGTTAGAACAACTCGATTTCAACTGCCTCTGTGCCATCCAAGACTCTGAATTCCCTCCATATCTTCTCCCTTTCTTTCTTCTCCCTTTCAGTGTTGCTAACCATAACATCCATTATACGTAGCAATGTAAGACAATAAGAGGTTTCCTTTAGGAATAAATGAGGTGAAAATAGTAGGCCAGAGCCAGATCTTAGAGGAGCAATTTTAGTGAAACTATAATTTCTAACTTGGGAGTGGGTCTAAGATGTAGCTGTCCGTTCCTTCCATTCTTTGTCCTCCTGAGTGAATCCCATTCCAGTGCTCACACTTGCCCTGCCAGAAAGGCCATGGCACAAGATTCTCTAGATTATTTGTACAAAGACCAGAGGTGAGCAGCATCCAACACCTCTGTAAGAGTTCTTAAGAATAGAGGAGATTTGACTGATTTTTAAATCCTGGAATGTTCCTATGTTTAAAATGTTGAGAAATAATATGTACAGAAAGGACCTATGGTGATAGGAAAGCTTAATAATACAAATTATTTTCCCTTAGAACAGAGAGGAAGGCGCTGCAAAGTGACTGCTAATGAAGCAATGATCTGCTGGCTGGGGGAAATGTGGCCTGAGACTAGAGATGCAGAGCCGGCATCTCTAGAAGGAGAGATGATGTCAATAGAAGAAGCCCCCGGAGGGACCTGGTCAGACAATATAATTTTATAAAGGTTCTCAGTACTTTTTCTGAAAAAATTCCTAAAATGTTCAAGGGCGCTTCTAGCCCTCTGCCTCTTTAGAGGTGAGCTCAGTGCTATGTCTGGGTTCTTAAGGCAAATGCCCTACAAACACCAAAGTCTCATTTTTTCCACTCTCAGCCGGCACTGGCTAAGTGGGATATCTTTTTCCCTTCCCTGAGTGAAAGGGACTTGTTTTCAGGATAAGTGTCCTTTAAACATCCAGCTAAAACTGGAAGTAATTTTTTGCATGAATGGCTTTTTACAGCTAGGTCTAAAGCAGAACAAAACTTGTATTAAACTAAGTGCTACTTTACATATCTTATTTCAAGGGAAATGAAGGATTTATTGTCGTGTAAATGATGTACACTGATTTGTTTCCTACTGGACATTACATGTCCCTTTATCTTTAGGCTGATATTGTGCAGCAAACTTTCAATATCTGGAAAATCAGCTGGTACCTACTTCAGTGCATTACTAGGATATTACATTCCCTGAGAGGAATCTTCCCAGTGAAGTTTAGGTACTGTTGTAACTGATTTCCATCCCTGCTTCCTAAGCTTCTGTACTAAATATATGTAAAGTTACTATATCTTGTCTGACCCCATGTGCTCGTGTGTGTTTCCCAATGTTTATATAAATATGTTGGCGATCGGAAGGGTTAGCTGGATTACGGCAACTGCTGGACATGGTGCGTGTGGCATGTGGCACACCTGATACCTGTGCACACCCGTTCTGAGGCCAAGCTAATTTTACAGGTTTTGAAAACAAAAAACAGCAGCAGCAACAACAACAACAGTGTGGCTTGAACTGAGGAAAGTTTGACGATGGATACAGTATTGCCAAGTCATCATTTATGGGTGGAGACCTTGACCACAGCAGAGTTGAGGTGTGTTCAACTGGATCTTATGTCCTTTATTTTAATCCTGACTGATCATTCCTCATTTGTATTTTATGACTTAGAAATATTCCTATGTGATGCTTGCTTGTTTTTCTCCCAGGCCTCTGGAAAGTGCTGATCATGATTGCTTCCCATCATTGGATCCCAAAGTTAATAACTGAGCATGAGTGACTGAGGCTTTAGTAGAACTGTGTTTTACTAACTGTGTCTCCTCCTTGAGGTGCTGTTCCCTTTAGTCTTTTCCTTTATGACAGATGAATGCATTGGCTATGCTAATTTTATTTGCATCCTGGCAAGTTTTAGAGGATCAATCTAGTTAAAATGATGACTGCATTTGCCTTTGGAGAAGAGGTTTATTGTCTAAGTAAAACTCTATGTGAAGGTGTCCTTTATGCAAAAAAAAAAAAAAAAATCCAACTTGGTAAGATGGCCACAGGTTAGAGGGGTGTGTTCTCAGTTGATATTAAGGTATATGTTGAAAAGGCAAGTGCCCACCCTTTCTCTATTCTTCATGCCCCCCTTCCTTCCTCCCCAACCTCAAAAGAAAACAGAAAATTATTTTTTTAAACTGTATGAATAATTTATGTTTAATACAAAAGGCTGATTTAATGGTATCACCAAAGGTTTTCTCCCATTGTGCATGTCCTTCAGTCTCAGCCCCATACCCATCACCCCATTCTTCACCCTCATGCTTCCATCCCAAGGCAAACATGTGTCTTCATCGGAATCTATGGGTGTTGAAATTAAATGTGGGGGCGGAGATTTAAAACCATGACGCTAATACAAATCAACCGTTCTTCACTTTCAAATGGTTAATTGCTACAGGAAGGCAAACTCTTTCCTCGGTTTCTGTTTAAAAGCATTTTATACATATATATGTATATATGTGTGTGTATGTATGGACATATGTATGTATATGCACATGTACATGTATATATGTATATATCCATCTTCAATATAAATATATCATATGTGATAGTTGTAAATACTCCTTGGTCATATGTCTGTCTTTCTCATAGTACCACATCTTCAATGTTACGTTAACAACTCCATTTATTGATTGATGAAACTGTGTGTAGAACTGTATTCTCCTGACATAGTTTATGTAGGGTCTCTTCTCAAATAAAGTATAAAACAACAATGCCCTTGTTTTATTTGGATTCATTATGTGGTAGGAAAGCATGTTCAATTTAAAGATAGTTTGAAAGTTTGGGAAAGTCTGAATGTGTGCCAAGCTTGAACCTTGCTTTCCTGAGAGTAAAAGTGGATTGCACAATTTTTAAGGTGACCTATAAGTTAAACATTGGATGGGAAAGAGTGTTGTAAGGGGAACATACATGCGATTATGACTTGAGACCGGGTCCCAAGGAAAAGATTGAGTATCTCCAGCTCTGTGTCTCGGTGATATCCTGTTACTCCAGATACGTTGGCATTCAACTTCTCAGTTATAATCATTTGAGTAAGTTCTCAAAGTGGGATAAAATGTGTTCTCTTGAATATCCATTTACCCCAAAGATTTTATTATCCTTTAGCATAATTAATTTAAAACTCCTCCCTCTCTTCTCTTTTCATTCCACTTTCCCTCTCTTTGTCTACATATTTTCTTCTTTATGTCATATAATGTGTTTTCTCTAATAATATTTCACTGCTAATTTTCATGAACTTTTTTCAGAACTGTTGATGGGTTCTAGGAGAAAGTGTGAGAGACAGGAGGCACAGGTTGCAATCCCACGAACAAGAGTTCAATGGAGATGTAGAGAGGTTTAAACAGAGTTTTTTCATTATAGGCCTGTTGACATTTCAGACTAAATAATTCTTTCTTGTGGGGGGGCTTTTCTGTGCATTGAGTGATATTCATCAGCATTTTTATTAGTGCAGTCCTTCCTGCCTCCTCCACCCCACCCCACTACTCTGTGAAGACCAACAATGCCTCCAAACATTGCCAGATGCTTCCTGGTGGGTAAAATTGCTGTACTTGAGAAACACTGGCTTAAGCTTTTACATCTTGCCACACAGTATTAAAAGAAGAATCAAATTCAGAAAATATTAGAGGCCCCAGTCATGCTCCAGGCCTTTCTAAACCAGCAGCATGGCTGTCCCACGTGGTAAACTTGCTGCTTTTCTTTAAGCACATTTCTCTTCAAAGCCCATCACTGAGAATCAAGTCACAGTATTACATTTGGGGTTTAGACAGCGATAGAAATACCTTCTTCATCTCCATAGATCAAAAATGTTTTCACTCATTAAGTATTGGTTCATAACACTTAAAAATGTGTAATTTGTGTGTGATTAAATCCTTTGGATATGTGTGAGAAGAAGCCCAAACACTCTTTTTAAAGGTGATGTCCCTGTGAAAGATGCTGGTAGACCGAAGGGAGAGAAACCTTTGTTTTTCAATTGTTCCAACATTTTTCCACCCAGCCCACATGGTTACATACATTATAAACTCATAAGTAGACCTTTTGTAGGCCTGGGATATAGGTCTCCAATATATAAATTCCTTTTGTTGAGTAAATAGAACTTGCATTAAGTTGGTCAGCAAAAGTGAATTTTCTTTGTACAATTCTATAAACACAGTACACATTTAATGGACATTTGCTGCAATGCGCTGGATTTCTCATTCTCTAAGCCCCAGATTATTTATACAACATTCAAAGTGCTGTCATTATGCCACGTCTTCAGCTCACTCATGGAAGCACTCAGGATCTAAAATCCTGAACAACCTGACAGTATGTTCGTTATGAAGGAAATATCTCTTCTCCCCAGAACGTGGCTACCTTTGCATTAGTGGCTTCCTATGACAGCTAGCTATAGCAGAATTAGGCTGCTTGAAGGCAAAATAGGTGTTTCTCAAGGTGGGAGTTTGAAAGGCATCTGACATCTAGGCCTAAGGCTTGACCTTTTCATAGTGTACTCCAGGGATGGCTTGAGAACAAAGTGCTGTGAGAGACCTCTGGTCCACCCCACATAGCCTCAAACTCAGCCTTCTGCAGGAAGCCCTTCCTACAGAGGCCAAGGAGGCTGTGGAGGCCTGCAACTTCACCTTAGATTGTCCTTATGCCCTTGTGACTCATTATTTGACATTTAATTTAAGATGACAATCCAGTGACTGGATCACATTATGTCCTCCTATGTCTGGAAAGTGCTTTATTGACTATCTTATTTAACTACCTGCCTGTGGCTAGGATTCTTAGATCAAAAAGAAGTGGGACAATGTCCCAAATAAAAGCATCTCCCAGTGCTGGAGAGCATGGCTGGTAAAATGATCTTATAAAGATCAGCATCTTAGTGATGACACAAAAAAGGTATGGTTTAAAGAGGATACTTTAGAAATAGCAACTAACCATTGCTGGGAGTGAACCTGGAGGCTGTTCATGATGATACTGAGAGCAGAAATGCCAAGAAGGTATTCGCTTGACACAGGAAAGTGGTGCAAATTAATCTGAAAGTTGATGTCTGAGGTAGGGGTCACTCTTTGTAAAAAAGCTAATAATTAAGTTTGATTAATATTTGTTTTTTAAGAAACAGGGTCTCCACCCTATTGCCCAGGCTGGAGTACAGTGACACAATCATAGTTCACTGCAGCCTCAAACTCCTGGGCTCAAGTGATCCTAATCTCCTCCCTGACTCAGCCTCCTGAGTAGCTAGGACCACAGGTGCATGCCATCACACCTGGCTAATATCACTTTTTTTTAACTTTTTGTAGGAATGAAGTCTCACTATGTTGCCCAGGCTGGCCTCAAACTCCTGGCCTCAAGCTATCTTCCTGCCTTTGCCTCCCAAAATTCTAGAATTACAGGAATGGTAGGTAACTCCTGGTAAGGACTTGGGTAGATATAGAAGTAAGCTCTCCAAAACACTGCTTAATCTTCTCAGGACACATTTCCTTAGTATTTCAAGGCACAGTGGGCTCCTCGCACAGGGCCATCCCCTGTTCTTTGCTCCTGTTGGGATGCTCAAAATTACTTAGCTATTAACTAGGGAGATGTTCTATTTTAACCTCTCTTTTCCCCTATCATGAATGTTCTGAATTATTCAAATCTCCAATTTGGGGCTCAGCAGAGGATCTAATTACTGCCCTGCTTGCCACTTGCTGATGAAATTCAAGAGCCAAAGAATGACTTTAAAACAGTTAAATATTGAGAGGGAGCTTCTTTAGAAAATTCTGTAGGAGTCTCAATCTTATTGAGAAAAGCTGGATGGCATGGTCTGAGAGAGTTTGCTGGATAAGGCCATCTTCTGACTACACATAATTGCCATATACTCAAGGCTCAGCAAAAGTCCTGCCTTGAATTAAAATAAGCTGATCTCTATGGGTGTCCTAGTCACAGTCCTTTTATTATCAGAATCTTGAAAACAGTCACCACCCCTCTTGTCACTCAAGAGGGTAAGGTATAATGGAAAGGTAGGTAATAATGGAAATGCTAAGGTATAATGGAAAGAGGTGGTGGAAGGAAGAAGGTGCACAAGCTCCTGTCTAAAACAAGAGTAGAGGGTTTTAAGCTGAGGAAAACAGAGAAGAGATGCAGTTTGGAAGACATATCTCTTTTTGGATAATCATTCATTTATCTGCTCATTCATTCACTCATTTATCCATTAATTCATTTGTGTAATCAATCAGATTAGGAGTGCCTTTAAGGTAGATGTGGCACAACATGCTGGGCCCTGAAGATGTAAAAGGATTTAAGGCTCCCCTCTCTCCACACTGTCTTCATCCCTGCCTCATACTGGGAACCCCACACTGAACAGAAGAAGGAGTAGGGTGCTAAGAACAAGCATATAAGACGCAAAAGGAGGGGCAGTATTTCTGTCCATGACTTGGGTGTTGGCTAAGAGAAGAGTGTTGGATGAAGAGACTCCCCTGGGCTTCTCCCAGAGGCAAGTTCTCACCCACTGTGTCCTTGGGCTGTGCATGACAAGTGCTAGGGTTTTGAGATAACACCCAATCTCACCAGAGTTCAGTGAGAGTCTTTGCCTTCTGCTGAATTCCACTCTAGGTGGGAAGCCAGAACTCTTCTCCCAAGCCCCATGCACGTACTGACTTAGAAAGCAGGGAAATGTCTCAACCATGGTCTGACACCCTTAAGTCACTGCTCCAGGGACACACCGGCCCTGCTCATTTTCCACCTCTGTGAGATGCAACAAGCCAGTGTTTTCCGCTACATAATGGAAAGCCCCACTGGCAGAGTTATGCTCAATGGGGCCGATCATAAATGTGATTTATGGAGTTAGCTCATTTACTGCCTCTGATGCTGGCCCCAGCTGCCAGGAGTTTGACTGACAATTTCTGTTTATTTATTTCTCACTATATAATATCTGACTTCACATTATAAATTCTTTTGGTTGGAATTTCATGGCGTCTGCTCCAGTATTTATTGATGGGATGCTCATCGGGGACTCGGTCCTCTTTTGGGATGAGCTGGACTCTGAGCTCTTCGTTGTGTCTGTGAGGTTGAGGCTAGGGCCCTGTCACCCCTAGCGATATTTTACTATGGTAAAAATCCTCTTGTGTCTTTTGATAGACAGTCCTCTGCGTTAGAGCTATGCTCACCTGTGATGGATAAGTTGTGATTCAGAACCAGTGGAAGTAATCAGCAAAGAGTAACTTAGAGTCAAAGTGGTGTCTGTGTGTGACCATTTAGAAGAGGTCTGGAGGGGTAGAGTGTGACATGCCAGTTTTTGCCTGGATGATGGTGACCAAGTCCTTTTCCTTATTCCTTCCTTCTAGTCCATAGATAAAGCAAAATGATCACTTAACCAGAGGTTGGACAAAAGACCCCAGGTGGGTTCTGAATGTGCTTTTTCTCACCCTGTGAATGTAGAGCCTTTCATGTAGAAATGATTGACCATAAAATGTTTTTGAGAAGAATCGTGAGTTTTTTAAACATGGGCTGCATACTGCTCATAAAAATTTTACATTTTCTCTAGAGAAATGAGGCCATCACACTGTTTGTGAGTTTTTTTCCAGTGCCATCAACCACTGTTAAGATCCCTGTCTGTCACTCTCAGTCAGCCTTGTCTGCACCAACTCCTATAGTCCAGTGCTGCAGGGCTGATATGGCCCAGCCCCTCATCAGTCCTAGAGGAAGAAAATAACATTCATTAAGCACCTCCCATGCACCAGATGGGCACCTCGATAAA